AGCTTAAACCTATGTATAGATTTATTTGATTTTTTTCAATTTTTTTCAAATAAAAACCTTTTACGTAGTGAAATTTTTGTACAAAACACTGGTTGTTAAATTTTTTGCCTCCGTAAAATGAATATTTTGGGATGCTTCTCTGAAGAGAATAACATTCTGTAATGTCTAACAAGATTAGAGGTACTTGTAAAGGGATCTTGGTCCCCTTCATATTTCCTTCACTATAACCACTCTGATGGTGTAGAAGTATGTGCTTGGCTTGTCATCTTGTTGAAATCTATATCTATGGCTAAATCTTAACCTCCTGGCAGAGGTAACCATCTGACTCTTTTCTTGAACGTTTTTTTTTTTAATTAATTAAATTTTTTTTAAACGTGTGGAACCTCATTTATATGCCAAAAAAGAGGAAGTAATTCCTTAATAAGTCCGTATATATTGTATTATCACTGTGAACTCACTAGCTAATACCTAGCTAATGTTTAGTCTTGCAAGCCTGACTTCTAGCTCTCAGCATAGCATCAATCTAGTTTTCATCAATTATTCTAGCCAAGAACTGCCTACTTACATAGGAAGAGAGTGAGTGTACGATACATATCAGATGGCACGATGCACATAGAACTAGCTAACCTTAGCTAACTTGAGCAGCATTACTCTGTAACATTAGCAAGACGGCTACAACAATGTAGCCTACAGATTAGCCAAAGTATCAAGGCCACAAAGCAATAATGAGGTTGAAACTTTGACCAGTGTGTTTAGAAGATACTCACCTTCCCATTTCCTCGATGTATATGTGTGTAGGTGTCTGCAGCAGATGGCTGAAGGTGGCCTGTGTTTGGACGACATGTTCAGACAGTGTGTATTCAGACAGGATGAGCGAGACATGGTGCTGAAGGCCATCCGGACCGTGCAACCCGACTACGAGCCACGCACTCCTACTGAACGGCCGCACTGCTCATTACCACTGGTGGAGAGCTTCTATACACAGGTACCCAATCTGACGGCTCATCTTATCCATTCATTCATCTTCATTCATCCATCATTCATTCGTCTTTAGTAAGCTCTTTATCCTTGTAATGGTCGTGGTGGATCCAGAGCCTTTCCCTGGATCACACGGCACAAGGCTGGAACACAGCCTGGATGGGGTGCCAGTCTGTGTACACACACATTCACACACAGAGGCAGTTTAGAGTAGCTGAATCACCAGCGTGTTTTTTGCGCGGCGGGAAGTAACCGGAGAACCTGGAGGGAATCCACATGGACATGGGGAGAACATGCACAGAAACTCCACACAGAAAGTTACCACAGCTCACGATCGAACCTGAAGCCTGGAGCTGGGAGGTGACGATGCTACCCCCTGGCCATATGCTAAACATGCTCTTGACTAACATACTACTTTTAATCACTTGTCAGCACGCAGACGTGACTAGACGATGCAAATTATCCACACAGTGTCCCCTCTGACAGGTTGCAGTGAAAGGCAGAGGTGTCATACGGCCGCTGTTTATTTCATACCAGCAGTCTTGGGCTTGGGATGGCAGACCTGGTTTATAAAAGTGCCTAAACAGGCCTTGGCTTTTATGAATGAGCGCTCGCAACACAGGCTATTTTTAACCAGAGGAGATGTTGCCATCAGGACTCTGTGCCCTGCTTTTCCTCCTCAATGATTCATTACTGTGGTCCACCTCAGCCCATTTATCGTCCGTCATGCCACACACACTGCATTCCTGTTGCTGTAGCAGACAGCAGGAACAAATCTGTCACTAGTAACAAGCATGTCTGAGAGCATCGTCTGCACCACAACATGTTTTTTGTGCTGAAAAAGTCAGAAACTGGAGCATAAGGCAGTTTTACTTGATTAAGCTGAATGTATTACTGCTGTTCTCAGCACACTGGGTGAATTGGTGGTTGAAGCAGTTACACTAGACTAGCAATTTCTGAAACCAAGTACATGTTTTATTTTGGTACTTGTTGATAGCAATACTAATATCAAAATGAATAACCTTGTCTGTATTAAGCAATCAGGCGCGTCATGGAACACTTTGTTTATCTCTGTTTATGTTGGCTTCTGCCGTGTGTTGCTAGCAATAAACTCCTCCTGCTGAGGTTTAACATTTTGTGGTGTTTCACAGTATCGTTAATAGAGAGCAGAGCAGTATCAGCGATTACGGTCTTTAAAAATGAGCAAAGCGTGATGAGTCGCACCTTGACTTGCATGTTGAAGTGTAGACCCGAAGTGTGCGTCTTCCAGTGCTCGGTGCTCACTCTTTCTCACGTGCGACGATTTCTCTGTAAGCTCACGACACTGCTTCACACTCGCAAATACATTTGTGTGCACACAATTTTTGTTTCTTTTTTTTTTTTTTTTAATAATTACTGATCTGCTTTCTCTGCTTGCTCATGTTATCGGATGTTGATGTCAGCATTTAAAAAAAATTTTTTTTTACAAATACGAGTAAATGATAACAGCGTCGATACTGATGCATCCCTACTTTAGAAACTATTACGATATTAGAAACATTAGAAAGAGATATTTGGTTAAAAAAAATGAATTGGTTGTTTTCTGAGTGGACATGGAGCACTAAAAATAGAGGGCTTGGAGGGAGCTCTCACAGCTGTGCATTTCCTGCAGAGCTGAACACACACACACACACATATATGGACACTAAAAAGCTAGTACGTGACAGCAGTCTCCATACTTGTATAATGTACAGAGAGATGTAATCAGTGCTGAGTGAATGTTCAGGAGGAATAGTGCAGAGTAGTGAAAAGTGCCATAAGCACTCTGTTTGCACAGCTGATGAAGGACTCGTATCTAAAGCTTCCTGTTTCTACATAATGTGTACTACTGTAACACATTTATTTCACACTTTCTCATAAACGCATCCACCTTCATCACTCTGCGTTAGTGTTTAATGTTGCAAACTCGTAGCATGTGGCTGCCATGCACTCTGGGCTAGGGTTTCAATATAGTGTGTGTGTGTGTGTGTGTGTGTGTGTGTGT